ATAAGGTACATGAAAACAGCATTTTTTGGTTGTCAGTATCCGGATTTAAGTCATCAGACACAACTTTATTACCTAGGGACCATCTACCTTGCCTATAACAGGGATACATGCATCAGCTGTTTGAGGCACTCCTTTCTTATGGCCAATGCATCTGCAAAACTTACTTAGTAATTGGAGAGTTGTCTGATGGGTAGAGTTAAATGGTGATCTTGAAGAATGGTATCCTTATAGCTACCACTTACTGGGCATCTATTCCAAACAAGGCTCTTTGATAAAACATTTATGCATGATTTGTAGCCCTTTTATCATCCCTACAAGGTAGATATTAATATCTCCAATGTACACATGAGGAATATGAGGCTTAGAGCCAAAGACGTTAAGTTGCCCCAGGAAAAACAGGTAAGCCCTTTTTGTCTGCTCCATGAAGCTCATTCCTGTTACAATGAATTAGATCACAACATATCTTCCAGTAGGTACATTTTACTCTCTTAAAATAGATTTAGAATATGACCCAGTGCTTTGATGAGATCTGGGACAGGCATTTGCAAACTGTCATTGGTGTGTCATTTAAAAAAATATCCAGTCCCAGAAGTTCTAGGCCTTTATGGGGTTTTGGACCATCATTCCCGTCCTCCATTACATGTCAAGTTTTAAATTTAAACCAGAACCAATAAGTGGAAAAGGAAGCCAGTAAAAATTATTGGTGGTCTGGAAAGGGGTCTGGGGAAACTCCCATGTAATGATTTTGAGCTTGTCTTCCCTTGCTGAGGGCTCTGATTATCATTATTATTATTTTAACCAAGGCCCAAACCTGCTTTAAGTTGCCTTTGCTTAAACAAGTTGTTTATAAAATATTTGTTCCTTGGTTTTCATATCTGTCAAATGGGGATAAAATGAAGATGCAAATAATAACTACACATGAGACTATGCATTTAGTCCATTTCAACAAACTTTTATTATGTATTCATCTCTAAGACTTATGCTAAATACTATTTGTGAAAATATTTATAAACTGTGAAAAGCAATACTAAAAAAATACAATGTGTTGTTTTTGATTTACTATGAATCACACAGTGATTATAACAGTAATAATTCCTTATATTTCCTCCACATTTTCCACATTGATCTGCTCATTTTTCTTTTTTTTTTTTAAATTTATTTATTGAGAGACAGAAAGAAAGCGCAAGAGTGGAGGAAGAGCAGAGAGAGAGGGAGAGAGAGAGAGAATCCCAAGCAGACTCTGCACTGTCATTGAGGAGCTGGATGTGGGGCTTGAACCCACAAACCATGATATTATGATCCGAGCCACCTCAGGTGCCCCTGATATGCTCCTTTTTATATATGAGAAGCTAAGGCTTAAAAAGGTTAAATGGTTTTCATCAAAATAAAAAGCTCTGCACAGCGAAGGAAACAATCAGCAAAACCAAAAGGCAACCAATGGAATGGGAGAAGATATTTGCAAATGACATATCAGATAAAGGGTTAGTATCCAAAATCTATAAAGAGCTTATCAAACTCAACACCAAAAAACAAATAATCCAGTGAAGAAATGGGCAAAAGACATGAATAGACACTTCTTCAAAGAAGACATCCAGATGGCCAACCGACACATGAAAAAATGCTCAACATCAGTCATCATCAGGGATTACAAATCAAAACCACAATGAGATACCACTTCACACCTGTCAGAATGGCTAACATTAACAACTCAGGCAACAACAGATGTTGGCGAGGATGTGGAGAAAAAGAATCTCTTTTGCACTGCTGGTGGGAATGCAAACTGGTGCAGCTACTCTGGAAAACAGTATGGAGTTTTCTCAAGAAATTAAAAGTAGAACTACCTTATGACCCAGCAATTGTACTACTAGGTATTTATCCAAGGGATACAGGTATGCTGTTTCGAAGGGGCACATGCACCCCAATGTTTATAGCATCACTATCAACAATAGCCAAAGTATGGAACAAGCCCAGATGTCCATCGATGGATGAATGGATAAAGAAGATGTGGTATATACATACAACAGAGTATTACTTGGCAATCAAAAAGAATGAAATCTTGCCATTCGCAACTACATGGATGGAACTAGAGGATATTCTGCTAAGTGAAATTAGTCAGTCAGAGAAAGACAAATATCATATACTCATACGAGGACTTTAAGATACAAAACAGATGAACATAAGGGAAGGGAGGCAAAAATAATATAAAAACAAGAAGGGGGACAAAAACACAAGAGACTCTTAAATATGGAGAATAAACAGAGGGTTACTGGAGGGGTTGTGGGAGGGGGGATGGGCTAAATGGGTAAGGGGCATTAAGGAATCTACACCTGAAATCATTGTTGCACTCTATGCTAACTAACTTGGATGTAAATGTAAAAAATAAATTAAAAAAATGTTTTTAAGTTAAAAAAAAAAGAAATAACACGTGGCCCTGGAAACTTTAGGGACAGTAAGAAATGAAACTGATGCAGATCAGCTTGTGTTCATGGCTTAGCATTGCATTTTAATTAAAACATAAAATCATTAAAAAAAAGGTTAAATAGTTTGTTTGAGGCCACACACGAAATGATTCCAATATGCTCCTTACTACCCCAACTGCCTTCTAGAAGACTCTATACATGAGGAACTCCACTCTATCCAACCAGGAGTATTATCTCATATTTCATATCATTTGGAGGAACTTCTTTGAATAGCAAGTGAATTTGTATTTCTCATGGTAACTTACTCCATGGCTTTCAAACTTATTAACCCACATCTACATCTACAACTACCTACATCTTTAGGCATTTTCATATATGTTACTTCATTCATCCTCACAGTAACTCTAAGATTGTACAGCTAGTAAATGGTGGAGCCAGAATTGTAACCTGGATGTTTCTGATGTCCAAGCCCTGTTTATTCTGCTATGCTATACTGCTTTGGTTATTAGCTGTATAACTTTGGACAAGTCATTTAACCCCTGTAACCTTCATTTACTGCATATATAAAGTGGGTTTATGCCTTTTAAGGTTGTTGTGAAGCTTAAATGTGATAATGTAAAATAGGAGAGTCAAATAGAAACATCAGTTGTGGTTATAGCTGATAAATATATCAAGGTAGAATAGTTTAAAACAGTATCTCCCTTTCCCCCTTGAGTTAAAAAGGATAACAGCAAAAAAGCCAAAGGAGACTCTTTAATAAGTGGTTGTTCACCAGACGTGCATGGCTGGCTCTGTATGGCTGCACCTTGTAAAAAGGGGGTGGAGTAAGGAGTTTCTGGGGGCATTTCTGGGATGGTTTGCCTATGGTGGCAAAGGTCTAAAAATTTAGGTGAGGCTTACTCCATCACATGGGTCTTGTTCAGTTGGCTCTCCTGGTAGGTCAAATGAGGACCGCTATGATAATGGTGACAAGAGCATGGGCCTGATAGGGTTGTGGTTTGTTGATGTGGGAAGCCACCATGACTGAGAAAGGAAGACCAATTCTGGGCAAAAACATTTGTTGAGGCCTACTCTGTGGTAGGCTAAACTGAGAGTGGGATGTAGCAATGAGTCAGCCCCCTGTCCTCAAGGATTTTATAGTGTAGTGGGGTACAGAAAAGCCCTTAATTCTTAAAAACAAGGCAGAGTATAATAAGGATCATATCAGAGCAACTAGGAGGTGAAGTGGGAGTTCCCAGAAGTCTTCTTAAAGTAGGTGGCATATAAGCCAGGTCTTTTTTCTAGGAACTGGTTGGTAATTCCAACTGAAGATGGCAGTATGAGATAGTGTAGAATATGTTATGTTTAACACAGGTGGGAACAAAGGTCTTTATTGAGTACATGCTTTATGCTAGGGTCTGATGATATAGAGATATATCAGAAATAGTCCTTGCCATTGAGGAGCTCTCAGTCTAGAGGGGTAGGCAGATGTAAAGAGTCATTAGAGTGATAACGACTTCATAAGGTAGAGAAGAAATGTTAAAGAAGAGTGTGTAACTCTGACTTGCAGAGGTCAGGAGATGCTTTGCAGAGGGGAAGATACTTGAGCAAGTGTTCAGAAAGTAGAAGTTTGCTGGGTGCACTATGGGAGGAGTTAGGTATGCTGCAGGCATCTGAGCAAGTCCCGGCGCTCTTTTATTAAACAATATAAGTGTGTCAGGCAGCAAGCAGGCAAGAAAATTATTTCTCCACCCTTCCCACTTGGTTTTTGGCTCCTGGATGGAATGACTTAAAAGCCTTCTTTTTCTTTCTATTTAAAAAAAATTTTTTTTACGTTTATTTTTCGAGAGAGAGAGCAAGAGAGAGAGTGAGTGTATGGGAGGGGCAGAGAGAGAGAGAGAAAGAGAGAGAGAGAGAGAAAGAGAGAGAGAGAGAGAGAGAGAGAGAGAGAATCCCAAGCAGTCTCCCCACTGCCAGCGCAAGGAGCCTGATGCGGGGTTTGAACTCATGAACCCGTGAGATCATGATCTGAACCGAAATCAAGAGTCAGATGCTTAACTGACTGAGTCATCCAGGTGCCCCAAAAGTCTTTTTCAGTATAACATCCTAATACCAGCTGGTTAAATGAAAGGTTTTGGAGTCAGACCTTGATTCTAATTTGGCTCTCTAATCAGCTGTATGACCTTAGGTAAAATACTTATTTGTGTCTCAGTTCCTTCTATTCATAACCTTGAAAGATAAAGTGTCTAGCACAGAGTCTAGCATATATAAAGTACTGTTATTTCTATCATGATCTCATTTAGTTTTCACAAGCAACCTGGACCTTGGCGATAATTTCCTCTATTTCTCAGAAGCAGAAGCTTAGGGTAGGTAGGTGGCCTGCCTAAAGCCTACACAGCCCGTCCGCCTTACTTTTATATCCGCACCGGGTTTTCTTAGGCGGCCCCGGTAGGTGGGGGTGGGGTGAGGCGGGGTTGTGTAAGGCTCCGGTCCGGCAGCTCAATTTCCGGCGCCAGGATTTGGGCGCTGCCACGCCGGCGCCGGGCGGGCGGGGCCAGGCGGGGCGGGGCGGGCAAGAGGAGGGAAGTTGTCGAAGTTAGGGGAGACGCCCGCCCGCCTGCCCGGGCCTCGCCTCTGACCGCTCCCTCCGCCTCCTCCCCGCCCCGAGCCCCAGTCTGCCCGTCCTTCCTTCCCCTCCTGTGCATGATGGAAACACCATGGCTGCGGCGGCCCAGTTCTCCTTGACACAGGTAACGCCGCCCGCCCGTCCGGCTCGGTCGGCCGGTGTCCCCAACCCGGCCCCCTCCCCCACCGTCCTGTGGTTCACCGACCCGGGCAGTTTCTCTCGCCCCGGGCGGGGTGGCCGATGGTGAGAGCGAGAGCGTGTGTATATGTGCGAGTGTGAGACACTGTGACTGAGGGAGGGCGCCATCCCGAGCCCGCAGCTCCGCGGCTGCAGCCTTGACCCCGCCCCACACTACCCCCCCCACCCCTGCGCCCGGTCCCGCCGCCCCTACGTCCCACAGCTGAGTGGACCGTGCCCCCTACCCTGCTCAGCTGACGTCTGGCCCTTCTCACTCCACGCAGCTTTCACCCAGCCAGGAAGTTTCCTTCTTCCAGGCCAGACGCACTCCAGGTGAGCTCCTGTTGAGCTCGCGCGGATCAGCCTCACCCCCTGGTCAGCCCTTGCTCCGCACGAGGCTGGTCTCTGGGCCATGCAGAGCGCTTCCCGTAGTTAATACTCACCTTCCAGACCTAGACGCCCAGCGCCCTCTCTAAGCCAGTCTTTCCTCTCGAAACTGGCCTTTTCCCACTGGAGTCCAGTGAAAGCCCTCCCTTCCCCAGCAGTTTCTGATAGTCAGCCTCTCTTCCAAGTATGTCTTATTCTCAACTGCTTACCCTGCTAGCCTCTTCCTGAGTTCAGCCTCTTCCTCTCCTGATCAGATTTCCTTCTGGGTCAGACCCCCCCCAGTTCCGTCTCTTCCTGCTTCTACTCTTATCCGGTGGGCTTCACTTAATCGCTGCCCACACGGATAACAGGGAAACATCCTTTTACAGGTGTGATGGTTCCACCAGTCTTGGTGCTGGGAACGACTATAGAGATCACTCATTATGGGCGAACCTGTACTCGGGGTCTTTCCTCTTGTCTTTCTGTTGTAGAGTCCAGTCCTTGTGCTTCCCAGAAAACCTTGTGCTTCAACATCATTCACTCTGGGAAGCCTTGTTCCTCCTTGTCTGTAAAGAAAGCCAATTGTAATGTTTTCATGATGTTCAGGATGATGAGGGGGTGACATTGCACCTGTCAGTCTCTTCCTGCTCCTCTGACCAAAACTCACCCTCAACCTCAAATTCTCAGTTTGTTCTCCCCAAAGCTGGGGAGTGACCATGTACGCCCCGTAGAGGCCCACCACAGCCTTTCTTCCTGCCTTATATCTCCCTGCCACCTTGTAGTCTCCTTGGCCTAGATTTGTGAGTGCTTATACATTTGGGCCTTGGAGTTTTCTGTGTTGGAGCGGAAGGCTTTGGAGTGTTTCATTTAGCACTCTGGGATAGAGAAACTGAGTGAAAAAATGTTTTCTTTCTCTGGAGTCACCTATAAACATGTACCTCAGTTAAAATAACTAACTTCAGTTTGCAGGATTTCTCAGTTTCCTAAGTGAAGTCTGTTTGTTTCCCAGTTTTCTTGGTGTTGCTTATCGTATTTTGACAAGCAGATGACAGAGGAGAATCCTTGGAATGTGGCAATTTAGTTTTGGCGGTGAATCCCTTTGGAAGGGTCATCCTGAAACTCGAATAAGAGTAGTGGCAACATTGACTTTTGGGTGTTCACTTCTTATGAGTCTAGTTAGTGACTTGCATTATATAAGATCCTGTTGGCAGGTTCCTGCTCTCTGGTTGTGTTGGCCAATTCAGGCAGTTTTCCCCTCTTGAAGTTTTTGTTCTCTTGAAGTCTTCTATAGATCTGTTTCTTAGTTGTGTGCATACTTTATTCTCTCCCTGGGTAATACTGTGTTTTTAGTTTCTGTTTACTATCATTCATCTTTGGAAATTTTCTTCAGGCTCTGTCAGTTTTATAGACAGTTAAATAATTTAAATATGTTCTTGTGGTTATGTATTTAAATATTAACATGTACACATGGTAAATACTGAATCAGTATTATCCTTCAGTGTCTCACATATGAGAGAATGTACGTTGATGGTTCCTTTATACTGATAATTCAAATTAAATCAATTTAGAATATTTTGATTTTAAGACATTAAGAAGCAATAAGATACATGTAAAGGGACATGAAAAAGAACCTAAGTGTTAATATACCCTAATGTGCCTCCTTGTTATTTTAAAACTTTTCTAATTTGTATATTTTCAATTTAATTTTTTTAACTACTTGAAGCAAATAAACTAAGATAATCAGCCTGGTTTCACATTCATTATTGATCTATTTGTGTTATACTCACTGCCTCCCCCCTCACTCCCCACCCCTCCACCCCCCCAACACACACACTTAGACATAGGCATACTCAAGAGAGAAATCCTCCAGGGCAGGGACGTCTTTTAATTCATCTCTCTTCCTCAGTGCCCATCTGGAAGAAAGTGATTAAAAACTGTCTTATGAATGACTGCAAATTTTAAAGGGCTCTGTGACAGTTAAAAGATTAGACAGATGCTTGGGTTGGTTTCTGCCCCTGGTCGTGAGATAATAATGGTTTTGGAGTAGGTTCTTTCATTCAACAAATATTTGTTAAGTACCTATTATGTGCTAGGCACTATGCTGGGATTGTCTTGTTTATAATATTTTGCCTTTATCAGTTAAGCAAAACTGGCAGTTTGGGGGGGAAAATGTGAAAAATATTTTAATTTATTCCTTCCTTCCTCTTTCCCTGCCTGACAACCAACTTGCCAACTCCCCAGCCACCAAAATAAATCATCTAAATTATATTCTAGCTCCTAGAGAGGATAGAATACTAGAGTAATGAAATGTTAGTTCCAGTCTCAGATATGCCAAAAGCTAACTCTATGGCATTGAGTTAGGTCTCCAGGGCCTCGATTTTCTTAATTTTAATAGTCATTCAACAAAAAGTTGTTGAACATTCACTGTGTGCTAGGAATTATTCTAGGTACCGCGGCTATACTAAGGAACAAAATACATAACAATTCCTGGAGACAAAACATGGAACTTACATTCCAGTAGGGGAGTTTGAATTAGCTGATTTAAGGACCTTTCCCACTAACATTCTTTTTTATAGATCATATTCTATGATTTGTAGCTCTAGTGGGACTTTCCCAGGGTACTTTAGTGTTATATAGCCTTAGTGTTTTCTAATTTCAGTTGTCTTCACTAGGCATTCTATTTTATTCTAATCAGTAAGAAGTGAAACTTGAGTGAGAGAGATCTTGTGATTTTTGCTTTGTGGTGATAGATTACAAAAAAGATATTAATACTTTCTCTCCTTAAGCTTTTCCAATTGCCCATTTCTTCCTCAAGCCTGTATCCTTAATACTCTCAGTCTTTCTTACTATATGTAAGGAATACTTACTATATATACAAGGGTGTTACTATATGCAAGGGGTTTTACTTCATTTAACACTCAGTTTTACAAATGAGGGAAGTAATTTACATGAGCCTAGTATGTGGTGGATCTGAGATTTGAACCAAAGATTTCAAAAGCTATTTTATTCTACTTCTCTGCGTACTAAATGCTTGGCATATCCAATGCTCCCTTGTATTTTTGATGCTCTTTTCCAGTAAATGTCCTATTGTCCTAATTAGATAGTAACCTTCTTGAGGCTGGAAGCCATGTCTTTTGCCTCTGAATCGCCAATGTCTTGGTATGTTGACAGTACAATTGTGGGTACACAAGTGGTGTTCTTGATGATGCTAAAAGTTTTATTTTATTGAAATATGACATGATATGAGTATTTTAAATGATCTTCCTGCAGTTCAGCTTTATGCTGAAGTTTTCTTGTTTAATTTAGCAAGAATTCTTTTTTAATAATAAAAAAATCCTTAGGTGGCTCCTAGCTGGCTAAGTTAGTAGAGCATGTGACTCTTAATCTTGGGGTTGTGAGTTCGAGACCCATGTTGGGAGTGGAGGTTACTTAAAAAAAAAAATAGAATCTTTAAAAACATTTTTGGATGTAATGAAGTATATTGGGGCGCTTGGGTAGCTCAGTAAGTTAAGCATCAGACTCTTGATTTTGGCTCAGGTCATGATCTCACGATTTATGAGATCAATCCCTGTGTTGGGCTCCTGCTATGCTTGGGATTTTTTCTCTTTCTCTCTCTCTGCCCCTCCCCTGTGTGCTCTCTCAAATAAATAAATAAACATTTTAAAAAATGTTGAGACCCTTAGAATGGGACTTAATTGAAAAAATCTTAGTAAATGGTCTAAAACAATAAATGCTCTAAGAATACTTTTCTTTTTAATGCTTTTTTTTTTAATTGCTAGAGTGATAATAACTGCTTTATAGAAACTGGTAGTTGGAGGAAAAAAATCTCTCAGAATTTCAGTTTGTGGTGTTTGTTTTCAATTTCATTAAAGACAAAAATACATGATGTATATTAATGTGCCATCTTAGTGGTTTAACATTTATGACAGTAAATATCAGGACAGAGCATAAAAATTACAACATGTTCTCAGAAGCAGAAAGAGTATTTATTTAACATGACATATTATTTGAGTTCCTACTATGGGAAGGGTACAATAATGATATTTTTCTTCTGTTCCTGAAATTACAGTCCAGTATACTCAGGAAATCCATACTTCCTTGAGTGATATTCAGCCGTTCTCAAAAATGGCTTGGAATGTCCAGCATTTGGGAGGAGTTGTCATAGTTAAAATTAATTAGGAACAGTTGGGTTGGCCCAATACAGAGTCTCCCAGGAGTAACCTAAGAGTGTATTTCTTTGTTTTCACTCTATTTGCAGACAGAACAATAATGGGCTAAAATAGTAGAAAAAGATTGAACATCTTTATTTAGTAACAAATCATAGTTCTAATCTCCTTTCTCACTAGTAGTCTGATTTAAGGACTTAAAATAAGGTGTTATACTTGCTTTCAAGGAATTAAACACAGTTACACACTTCTTTGTTTTGTGAGTTTTGCACTTAGTATTGGAACTTTGGAAACCAGAAGCAGGAAAATGGGTTGAGTGAGAGGCAGAATGAGAGAAAGAGAAATATCTGGTTACTTGGAGAGTTGATAGAAATAAATGAAAAGTTAATCCAAGCAGAGTTTATGAGGCAAACCC